AGGGAGGGAAACAGGTCTGCGACAAAGGAAGGGGTGAAGGAAGTAGTAAAGGCAAGCTGTTTGGAGTGTGAAAACTGTTTATGGCGATAAGATTAAAGGTATCTACAAAACTAAAATGGTATGGAAAGGGAGGGAAACAGGTCCGTGACGTAGGAAGTGGTGAAGGAAGTAGTAAAGGCGAGCAGTCCGGAGTGTGGGAACTGTTTATGACGGTTAGATTAAGGTATCTACAATCTTAAAATGCTATGGGAAGAGAGGGAAAGAGGTCCGTGACGTAGGAAGTGGTGAAGGAAGAAGTAAAGGCTGGCAGTGCAGAGTGGGGGGGGGGGGGCGTTTGGGCAGTTAGATAAATGTATCTGTAATACTTAAATGCTATGAGAAGGGTAGGAAACAGGTCTATGACGTAGGATAGTAAGGCTAGCAGTGCAAAGTGTGGGAACTGTCTTTGGCAATTACATTAATGCATCTGCAATCCTAAAATGCTATGGGAAGAGAGGGAAACAGGTCCACGACGTAGGGGGTGGTGAGGGAAGTTGTAAAGGTGAGCAGTGTTGAGTGTGGGAATGGACTTTTTTTATTTTTTTTACGTCAAACACCATTTTACAAGTGGGTTTTAATGTATCTGCAGTGCTAAAATGCTATGGGAAGAGATCTGTACTGTAGGTTAAAATGATTACGAAGCGCGTATCGATACATAGATACATGCAATCGGTTACAATCAAAATTTACAACTGAGTTGACAACAGCTGATTTTTATTCCATAGAGGAAAAAAAACAATTTTCACTCCTTAAATTAAAAACGACTGTTTTACTGCAGTATGACAAAAACAATATAATATGAACCCTTGATGACTCCGCTCAATTTTGTGAATGCCTCTGCGAACGCCACCTAGTTTAAAAAGGACGGTCTAGGGGCCTATTGTCGATCTACTGGTAGGCTCCCAAATAAAGCATCACACACATCTTTTCAAGCAAATCAACTTTTAAAACAATTAATTGCATTGACCAGCTGTTTCATTAAATAATCAGCCTGTAGGGCAGAGTTCTGATAAATTTGTCCATAGGCCTACCTATAATTTTTGGCAAATCTACACACTGAGAGCTTCATTTTGTTGATGTGCCATATTACTGTATTTTTATTTGGTAAATGGCCTTAACCGTTTACATAAAATTTGATTGTATTGCTTGAAAATATCATTTTAAACCCTGTTTAACCAAATAAAATGATATAATCATAAACAAGAACTCATCCTCTAGTTATATAACCAAACATTAAAGCCAAATTCATTTAATTAACTCCAAAATAATATAAACCAAATTCCGTCGACATGTCACCATACATGAACTAGAGACACGAAAAACGAGCTTCAAAATTTACAATGGGATGGGAAGTCTGCTTGTGTTGGTTAGTCTATGACTGCATTCACCTGTATTATTGTTATAAATAACATGATTTTTAGGCTATTGGAAATCATTTGATGTCATATGAAACATTTATTAACAACAGTCAGTATAAAAATTACAATTTAAATCTAAATCATCATTAAACAGTATTTACACAAAGAACAGTGTACAATGACTAGAAACACAACAGAACTTTGAATAATACATTACAGTACTGTACATACAATTTACAATCATACCATAAATCTTTATACACAACAAAATTAGAGCGATAAAGGCCAGTGCACACCACAAAGACAGACGGACTCCTGCAGGTGGATGGGTTTTAGCGAATTTCCCTATAGGGAAGTAGCTATTACCGTAGGTCTCATGGTAAGGCTTGAGCCCGGGACTGATTTACTTTTTAATTTTGATGTCCCCAGAGGTCAAAAACACTAATCGTTCAAATTTGTATGTTATATATATCTATATATGTCAGTGAACAAAATAACTTGAGTAATTTTAGTCCAATTTTGATGAAATTTGGTTTGAAGGTGTAAGGCGGGATAAACTTGAATGAGTTCGTGAACCAGCATGATCGGACGATGGGATTGTTGTTTTACGTTTTATGGGGTACAAATGGTTTTTTCTCATTTGTGACCATCAAAACACAAAATTTCACAATTTATCTCTGGACCATTTTAAAGAGCTTAAAAGACAAATAATTTAGTATATAGGTTTTTATGTGCAGTTATTGGTAACGGAGAACATTCAAAAAATTGTAAATTTAAAATTCTCATGTTATTCTTATGGAGAATATTGTAAAATGTTGTAGTTTGCTTGTTTATGGATTTATTTTGATCATACTTGTCAAATTTATTTATCTATACTTATTTAATACGCAAGCAGGTTTTTTGTGACAATTACTCCTCCGAAACTACTGAACCGATTGACATGTTTTTGGTGTCATTTGAAAGAGCGTAACGTGAAGTTGTGCAGGAAACTTTCTTTTTAGGGAAATAATTAGAGAGTGAGGCACTGGGGCCCTTTTAAGTTTCATATTTCTCCATAAGATTAACATGGGAAACAAAAATTGTTATGAAACTCCAGCTGTTGTACGAAATTAAAAGTGAGAAGAAGAACATATATTTTAATTGTAAAAAGTCGATAATTTTGCTAATTTAACAGTTTGCTACAAATATTTACTGACTTCGTTGAAATGAAATATTTACTATTTGAGTTTGGGTTAGCGTAAATATTACAGTGGAAAAAAGTGAGAGAGCCTGGATAAATTGATATTAAAAAAAAAAACTGCATTAACACTGTGCTGCATTTTTTAGTAATCGTTGAAAGAGCCAATTTGCAAATCATGGAAACATAGGAAAGTCATAAAACACCACTAAGGAGAAGAATTAGAAATAATGTTTTTTGTTTTTTTAATTTCCTAATTGTAGAAAACACTAAAAAACAAGATCAGCTTTTGAAAAATGATAAGATATTTACAAGAAATTTTGATTATATCCATCTGTTATGAACATTTGAGTATTTCCATAATCTTTGAGTCGAATCTTTTAAAGTCATCAGAAATTATGACTATTATTCGTTTTACAATAATGCCTGTAATTCTTGGCAATTGCTCGAATTCGAGCAACAGGGACACTAGTTTTATACTAAACTATTAATATTTTACTAAAAACATACTTTACTAGCCTCCCTGTAGCAGCAAACCTAGGTACCCGTTTAACATAATGTTATTTAAATAGATTTAATTGTATATCAACTCAGGCAAATGGATATTCGCTTAGTCTGCAGGTTTGCTGTGTTGGGGGTATTTTTGTAACGTACTCAGCTGTAGGAGTCCGCAAGAAGACGGATTATCATTTCCCTCCTTCACCTCGTGCTTTCACTTCTTCGGTGCTGTGAAATGAGGGGTAGCAATGATTAAAAAAATTGTTTGCAAAAACTAACTGAAGAAACGGAACTACGTGTTGAACAGGATGAGAATCCCTCACAAGTAGTTGTAATTACAGGGTTTCTAGCGTCCCATAAAAATAAAATTCAAGGAAAATTCCAGATTAAAAATTTCCAGGACAAAACTTGCAAAAAGCCAAACTTACTTATTAAACCTGCTTGTATATTACAACCAATTCTCAGGACAAATTTTGGCGATCGCAGCCACACACTTGATTACTTCTTGCGATTACGGTAACATAAACACATCTCACCACCCTTGACTATGTTTGTGTTTGCAGCGAAATTTGTGATGATTTACCTTGATCATGGAAACGGTCGTGATAATTTCTTGCAATCATGACAACGCTGTAGTCTCCCTTGCGATCGCAATTTTTAACTACGCAAAAAGAGAAAAATCGGTAATCTTGGGCAGATTTTTTTGCTACCATTCACACATTTATTTTTCCCCGTTCTTTACAAAATTCACGGATATTTCCCTGGTCATAAAAATGTACGTACAATTTTTATTTTTAAAATTTATTTTGTGTGTTTTAACACCAGTGGCATTTTTTACGTTTTGAAACGGAACGGTCTCAAGGTTAGCTGAACACCCTGAGTAAACAAACCACAGCGCATCTAGTGGCAATGCCCAGAAGTAACGTTGAGAAAAACCTTTGTGCACATGCGCAGCAGAAAAAGTCTGCAGCAGGGTTCTTCAAAATCACCGAGAGGCGATTCCAAAAAGTCTGTCTACGAACTCAAGCGGACACCGGCCGACGGACCGATTCCTGTGTACGTTGCCACATTTGATAACATGGGGAGCAAATTTTAGTCCATCCGTCTGTCTCTATGTGCGCCGGCCTTTAGCTCCAAAAACATATAGTAATGATAAAATCTATAAAAAAAATAAAGATATACTTAACTGTGAATCTTACTAATATTTTTTATATTTTTGAAATATATTTTGTGATGTTTAGAAAAATACACATGTTTGTAAAATCAATTAAAATATTTATCCATAGGAAAAATCAGGTCTGGGTAGATAGATAATCAACATTTTAAAAAATCTGTTCAGGTAACAAAAACAAATATTTAATAAAGATAAAAAGTCAAAATTAAATTACCCATAATAAATTTTGTGTTTAAAGACTATTATGTCTATAATCAAAATAGTCTGTAATTTACTGCTTAGCATTCTTTTATATTTTATACGAAACAAAATAATTACTGAATATTATGCTAAAATAACAGAAATAATAGTATTTAGTGCTAATGGTACTGAAATCATCATATTTTATTCATTTTCAGTACTGTTTCTTTTGGCACTTATAGTAATGTAGGTACTTTCAAGGTCCCTCTAGAAAAACAGGCCATGCTGCAGCAGTGGCGGATTCAGGGCATGATTTCGGGGGTGGGGGGGGGGTCTAGGGGGTATGTAGTAAAGGAAGGGTCCGAAGCCCACCCATGGGAAATTTTGGAAAATTTGAATTGAAAACTCCTGTTTTTAGACAATCTAGATACATAAACATGATAATTTTATCCCCCCCTTGATCCGCCACTGTGTTGCAGGATCCATGAAGACACACTTGTGGATAGATTCACTGCCATATCCCATATGTTTTCGGTAAATAAGCTGGTTGTTAACGTAGTGTTGCGCTGCAGCATGGCCTGTTTTTCTAGTGGGGCCTACTAACCACTTTCTTGCTACTGTACTAACCGCACTGGAAATAATCAACCAACTGTTTAGAGGCATTAGATCTACTTGCCCAACAGAATAATGAAAACAGTAGAATGTAAACAAACAAATAAATTGTGAGAACACTCGAGTTGCGAGCAGACAATAGTTAGTGTATGCACCTGCCAGTAAAAAAGGAAACATGTTTTGATGATTGACTTTCAAAAAGTGGCCAAATATCTGGGGTTCTACTGCACATTTTTAAAACCCCCTTGTTTACCAATAAGACTCCACTTTTGTCAATATTTTGTAATATAGTCTAGAGACGTGATTTTGGTTGATTGGCTACACCAAGTTATAGTACAATAATAACGATGGAAGGTAATTAAATTTTTGTAAAGTAAATGTTTTCACCTGCATAAACAGGCTGAAATATCTTGTACAAACACAGTAAGCTAAGAATAAACAAATCAAAATTTTTATTATTGGCTCTTAGGCTTATCTTTCACCTACCTAACACGAGGCCAGTAGGCGGGCAGATTACTTGCCTCAGGTAACTTGAAATACATTAGAAGCAAGTAACTTGCCCCGTAATCAGCCTGCTCTACTGGACTCGTGTAAGGCTTAAAAAAAAATAAAATCAACAAGGAAATTTAAGATAAGATGAACCTTTTTTAAGTAAGAAAGGGATTTGGTAATGAGCACCTAATAGCTAATACTCTTAGTAAATAAAGTTAGCACTACATTTTTTAAAATAATAGTGAACAGACAATTTAGACCTCATTTCACTCTTTCATCTTAAAATGTACTTCTCTTAGGTGATGACTTAGTTTGTAGCTTAAGAAAAACATTTATAAAAAATAAAATCAACAAGGAAATGTAAGATAAGAATAAGAACCTTCTTTAAGTAAGAAAAGGATTTGGTAATGAGCACCTAATAGCTAATACTCTTACTAAATTTACCTTGTCAAAGTTAGCACTACATTTTTTAAATAATAGTGAACAGACAATTTAGACCTCATTTCACTCTTTCATCTTAAAATGCACTTCTCTTAGGTGACGACTTAGTTTGTCTTTACGTTTAAACGAGCTGTTACAAATATGACACGAGTAAGGTTTTATGTCAATATGGATCAAATGGTGAGTTTTCAATTTATCTTTTCGCAAAAATACCTTGCTACATATGGTACAACTGTACGCTTTAGCGCTGGTATGAATTAGAGCATGGCGATTGAGGATTTCCTTGTTTTTGAACTTTTTCCCACATGTCTTACACTTAATGTAGTTTAGATCACAGCATTTTTTCTGGTGAACAAGCAATGCTTTATTTTGTTTGAATTTTTTCCCACACAAACAAACACAGAGTCGTGATGTTCTGTCCTTGAGTGGCGTTTGCTGTTTTTGCATACCATCAACATCCTTTGCATTTAGTTTTTGCACACTATTAACCACCTTTCCAGTTACCTTTTGCACACTAACTACCTTTGCATTTAGTGTTTCATGTTTCAGCATGACGTGACCTTTTAATTCATCACAATTAATAAACGCCTCTGAGCAAAATCTACACGGGTAAGGCTTGGCACCGGGATGAGTCCTCCTGTGACGCTGCAGCCGATCATTTCGGCTGAACGATTTTTGACAAATAGAACATTTAAATGGTTTCACATTTAGATGCGAAAGTCGATGACGCAATGCATGATCCCTTCGAGAAAATTGTTTAAAACACAAATCACATGAAAAACCATTAGATCCATTTCGACTTATGTTTGCTAGTTTTTCTTGCCTGGAAATATTACAAACTTCACAAAGTTTTATAAACTCCGCTTCATTTTCTCCGACATTTAGCTGTATGATGTTTTCAAATGTTCCACAAGCAATACACCTATCTTTTACACACTTGTCTTCTTTTAAGTGGGCAAGTTTTATGTGTTCAGTCAATTCGTATCGTTTCTTAAATGAGTCGTCACACATATCACAGGAAAACTGTTTTGAATTGTCATGTGTGGCTTTGTGCCTTAACCAGTCATTTTTAAATTCAAATACTTGAGAACACTTGTCGCAAGAATAATCGTTCAAAATGTTCTTGCTGTATATACAGGTGACTGGAGGAGTAATGTAATATGAACATGTCTCACAAGTAGACAGAAGAGGTTTTCTTGCTTCGGGATTGACTAACTCAAAAGTTTTGAAAAAATTTCCGCAAATTTCACACATTTTGTCTATTAATTCAGATTCTAATTCCCGAACTGCTTGAAAACCACTTTTTTCTTCAGGTTCGCTTGAGCCCTCCATCATCTAGGACAAAAACATTTTTAATTAAACTAGTTTAACTTAAGACATTTTAAAAGCACATTAATAGAAATTTAAAGGCTACGGACAATAAATTAATTATAATTTTAAAAGAAGTATGTTAATGATATTTATGTTGTTTACGGTTTATTTGTAAAATGTAAGTCATCTGTTATAATCCTATCTTCTATTTTAGTACAAAAATGTTCATACCGCAGGAAACCTCCAGACTAAGCAGATTTCCATTTCACTGATTGGAATTTTTATTTAAACAAGAGACCACCCATGTGCAAACTGCACATTAAAAAAAATTCAATTTTATAATCAACTAGCTGTTACCCACGGGCTGCTCCACCCTGTTTTTTAAAACTATTGATTGGTTAAGTTAAGATAAAATAAACAAAACAGAATACAGTAATGGTAATACGGACAAATAATAACAGCTGAGGTATTTTTAACATTAGGTAAATGGAAATTTCCCTTTGGAAAGCAATTACGACCTTATAGGGCAATTTATGAAATAATGGATAATTTTGCGCAAGGTTTCTCGTCATGATGAACATTTTAAGTATATGGTTGATGGGGGTGTGACTTGTAGTTTTCTCAAAAGTTCATGGGTACTTTTGGCTTTATATATAGATAGCTAAAATAAAAGGTGGTATTTCACTAAAGGTTCTTAGACCAAAACATATAGGATAATGTAATTATAGTCCGCCCGTTTGGCTATGATACCCAGCGGTTTAGGGCTTTCTCGGAACTCAACTCACTCTCTCGACCCGCTCGTCGAGCTGGCCGGAGACAAACAGTGACTCACCCACTGTCACAATCCCACAGATCTGTAACTTTTTTTGTTTTAAGTTAAAATAATTTGTCTTTATAATTTTGAGTTCTACATGAAATTCCAAAAATAATGAGCCCAAACACGATGTGGATACTTAATATCTACGATCTGAAAGTAGTCACGGCCGTAGTACAATTACTCTGAATCGTCACCAGCTTTGTCCGACTTTCAGATCGTAGTTACATCGTTTTTGGACTCATTATTTTTGGAATTTCATGTAGAACTCAAATATACAAAACACAATTTAAATCTTACAAACTTAAGATAAAAAAAGGTACAGATCTGTGGGACTATGACAGTAGGTAGGTAAACTTTTTATCAACGGCCAGCCTGGGGAGCGGGTCTGAAGGGTCAGTCGAGTTCCGAGAAGGTTCCTAATCCGCTGGGTATCATAGCCAAAGGGACGGACTATAGAACTGGTGAAATAAATCTTTAATTGAAGTAAAAATTTGGAAAGAAACTGAATTTATGTTTTTTGGTTGAGTAATACAATAGATAAATGAATGATGATGCTTGATGGCAAATCTGTGCGTGCTCAGATAAATTAAATTGTAATAGGAAAACTAAGTACTCAAAACGAATGCGATTTAAATCTGTTACAGTATACTCTTGATCATCCGAGCCCTGGTTATCCAAGACCTCGGGTAATCCGATTTAGGCCTAAATATATATTTACTAGCCGCCATACCCGAGCATTGCAACGGGAAGAGAAAGCTAAAGAGAATAATCATGTTCTATAGATCTGCTGTATAAAAATTTAAATAACTCGTAAACAAAGTCAATAAGTTGATGAATTATAAACTATCACAAATAGCCCTATTCGCACAATATCACAAATTATTTATTACATTAAAAACAAAAACACATATAACTGTAAAAAATCCTACTCTGTCATAAATTCAAACAAAAAATTAATGGTGCCACACCCTGTTGGTAGGAACAGTTGTCAAAATTCTTTCATTCCTTTTAAGTATGAACACTCATAGGGTTAACACGGGAAATTCCAGACAAGTAAAACATTCGCTTCAGTTTAGGTCTATACGAAAATATTTTTTTTAACTCTACAAAATTGTATGTTTTTAAATTAAAAAAATGTTTTTGTGGGTTAAAGATAAAGAAAAAAATATTAACTAATAACTCTCCCCTCCTTCAAATATTGTTCCCATTGTCAATCGTTGTTGGAATAAATGTAAGTTTACAAATTGTTTATATATTTTTTTAATTGGACGATATTTTATGGTGTTAACGTGCTAACGGACACACACAAACCCAAACACAAATATATATGGTTTTATATAGGCTATGTGAATTTGAGCAGATGGGGTTTTTGGGCTTTGGGGACATTAAAACATAAAAGTAAATCGGTCTTGGGTCTAAGTCTTAACATGAGACCTACAGTAGGCTAATAGCTTATTTCCTAAAAGGAACATTTACTAAAACTAAGACTAATTAAAACATAAAAGCAAACTTTATAAGTAGCGTCACATCCTAAGTACCATCTTAACATGATAATACCATAGACTAACCAACACACAAGTAGACTTCTCATCCCATTGTAAATTTTGAAGCACGTTTTTCGTGTTAAGTTCATGTACGGTGACACTGGGCGCTAGTGTCAACGAAATTTTGTTTCTATTATTTTAGGGTTAATTTCTTCATTTGTGCTTTACTGTTTGGTTATTTAACTAGGGGACAAGTTATTGTTTATGATTAGATCGTATTATTTGGTTTAACAAGGTTTTAAATGACTGTAATAACGGGAAACAAATTGTAAACAAAACACGATCTCTACATAAGCCGTACAGAACTAACAATAAAATTGTCTTCAGCTGTTCCATAAGGATGAGAAATCTAGGAATATGTTTTATCTATGATAATACCTTCTATTTAAATAATACAACTGGCTCTAGCTGGTTTATTTAAATTGGATGTATATTTCAGTATTCAAAACACTTTGTTTTTAAACTTTAGTTACTTGTTAAAAACCAAAATCATTACCTCCTCCTCAAAAATCTCCCAAGATTTGTCAAGTTCCTCAATTTCTACCTCTGGTTCGACAGGTAGCAGCCAAGAGGATGCAGTTGGCGTTCTCTCCTGTGAAAATACAATAAATAGAAAAGGTCCCCTGGTTAACTACAGGATGCAGTTTGGAACTGTAGATGAGCCAGTATGAAGTTTAAAATTAGAAGTGAAGTTGTGAGCTTCTGCATACAGTAGATTCCCTCTTATCCGGACACCTTTTGACCGGACATCGGTTTAACCGGATTACAATCGGCAGAAATGACATCTCTTTAACCAGACAATTTTTATCAGCACATTGGTTTTTAACCGGACTAGATCGGCAGGAAGTGGGCAGTACTGAAACGACTGTTCTCGTGGGAAAGATTTGAGACCAGTGATCACGTGTCTAAATACAATGCTCTCCTAAATTTATTTCAAATATCACAGTAAACGGTCCGTTTTAACAAGTTTTTGGGGACGTCGGTTTAACTGGAATAACCGTTATCCGGATTGGCCTCAGTCCCGAGGAGTCCGGATAAGTGGGAGTCTACTGAACAGCCATGCCTAAGCTGGGGCTCAATGTTATCAAGAAGTTAAAAAGTCAATGAATGTTTATTAAACATCAACACAGGTATTATGTTAGTATTAATGTTATACTAGCAGAGTACCCGTCCTTCGTACGGGATTGGCATATAAATATAAATGCTTATTGCAGTTATACTCAAGCTTTTCGTTTGCAAGGCACAGTTTGATCAAATTTGCTTCTTTATTTTACTCTCAACTAACCTTTTAATCTCATGCGCCTCTGGGCCCATTTTTACTAAAGTCACATTGAGTATAAGTTGTTCCTAGATATAGATATTTCAAAGAAGTTTGCATACAAATACTGATGGCTGTCAAGGAAGTAGTTCCACATACGGGCAAACACTGATAGCTAAGTGAGTCCGGCCACCTGTGTACAATAAGAGTATTTTTCTGTATATGAAAATAATTTATAGATAAAAAAACTTTTTTAAAACAAAACGTTTTAAAACGCACTAAAAAGAAGAAAATAATTTATAAATATGTGGATAGTATAAATACTTGTAAGATTTAAAAAAGAAAAACGTGGGGTGCATGCAATAGATAACTTACAATTACCTTCACCTATTGAACTAATGTATTATTATGAATTACATGCACCTCACGTTTTTCGTTTTAAATGTTACAAGCACTTATACTCTACTGTACACATATTTATAAATTATTTCCTACTTTTTAGTGCGTTTAAAAACGTTTTGTTTTAAGAAAGTTTTTTATCTATAAATTATTTTCTACTTTTTAGTTTTTAATGTGTGTGGATGTTAAATCTATTTCAAGTATCTATACTGTTCATTGAAATGGCGACCATACATAGTAGGTATTTTAAGCCAAGTATGAATGGAGATGAGTGTAGAATGAGTGGCACGATCTTGTAGTCTTGTTAGTGACTAAGGCCGACATATTCCTTAGACACAGCTGTAAATTAATAGCCCAAACAGCTAATGGCAACTAAGGGACCTACAGTTTATAGTGGAATCCGAATTACATTTTTCCTTGGTATATACAAATTGGTCTAATTATCAGGATAATACTGCGGATAGTCGTAGTACTGACTTGTGCGGACGTTAATCCACACGAGGGAGTATCGCATCCACAGTTCATGCCTATAAATATCCACAATTCGTGACCTCCAGTCCCAGATTAAGACAGAGGCATGTGGGAAATCTAAGGTTTATTTGAGTTTCTTTTCATATAATTATGTATTAGATTGAATGTATGGCCTACCTACTAACTATAAATATATCAATCTATTTAATTTATTGTTTACTTTATAGAATCTATACTTATTTAATACGCAAGCATGTTTTTTGTGACAATTACTCCTCCGAAACTACTGAACCGATTTACATGTTTTTGTTGTCATTGGAAAGAGCGTAACGTGAAGTTGTGCAGGAAACTTTCTTTTTAGGGAAATAATCAGAGAGTGAGGCCCTAGGACCCTTTAAAGTTTCGTATTTCTCCATAAGATTAACATGGGAAACAAAAATTATTATGCAACTCCAGCTGTTGTCAGAAATTAAAAGTAAGAAGAAGAACATATGTTAATTTTAAACAGTCAATAAGTTTGCTAATTTTACAGTTTCCTACAAACATTTACTGACTTGGTTGAAATGAAATATTTACTATTTGAATTCGGGTTGGCGTAAATATTACAATGGAAAAAAGCGAGAGAGCCTGGATAAATTTATATATTCTGTTAACTTATGTACATCTGGAATATTTCCATAATCTTTGGGTCGAATCTTTTAAAGTCATCAGAAATTATGAACGTTATTCCTTTTTAAATAACACCTCAAATAATTAGAAATTGCTCGAATTCGAGCAACAGGGACACTAGTATTAAATAAATAACAATTGACATTTTTAACAAACACCTTTATATCTGCAATCAGATGGTTTATCTTTATTTTTAAATGTTTGTTTGTATAAAGAATCTCTTGGGAGCATAACCCTTACCTCTTAACCTCTGCTCTTCGAACTGTCAAATTTTAGTATTTACAGCTGTCTTAATCTATATATATAAAAGGCAAAGCCCTCACTGACTGACTCACTCACTCACTCACTCATCACTAATTCTCCCACTTCCCATTTACCTAGGAGGCTGAAATTTGGTACACTGATTCTTTAGGCATTAAATAGGAAAACTAAGTTGTTTTTATTCTGATCGGATTCTCGGGCTCCGCCCCAGTGGCTATGGAGTTTCCCATGTTAACCTTATGAGTACTCATATTTAAATGGAATTAATGAATTTTAACAGCTGTTTCAATTAAACAAGTTGGTTCTGTTCTATGATGTTCAATAGCATTAAAGTTACTACAAGGATTACCAACAGGGTGCAGCACTATTATTTTTTTTAATTTATGACAACAGCTAATTTGCAACCAAAAGGTGAGTGAGCGTAGCGAACGAACTTCAACCTGGAGGCGAGTTAGCGTAGCCAACGAGCTAACCTGAAGGCAAGTGAGCGCTGCGAATGAGCTCCAACCTAAAGGTGAGTGAGCGTAGTGAATGAACTTCAACCAGGACGTGATTGAGCCATGCGAACGAGCTCACTTATGAAGTAAAACGGGGCAAAGCCCGCGGGTACAGCTAGTTGATATATATTTACATTCTTTCAAAATGTAAACATGGAAAATTTGGAACCCTATGGGGCGTAGCCCAAGGGAAATATGAAAATTAAATTATATAATTTTGCATTGTCATCCATTTGTGAGCTATGTTTCAAATTTCAAGTCTCTAGCTCATTGGGAAGTATCAAAATTTGCAAGAAAGCGAGTTAATAAAAACAAGCCCATGGGGCGTAGCCCAAGGGAAGTATGAAAATTAAATGATATAACATTGCATTGTCTTCCATTTGTGAGCTATGTTTCAAGTATCTAGCTCATTGGGAAGTTAGTATAATAACCCCAGTATGCCAACACTGGGTTAAAGTTTCCCCAGGCACATTTTGAATGTGAGAGAAATTAGGCAAAAAAGTGCCCAGTGCTTCCTACCCCTGATTACCTTCCAGTCTGATTGTTCACTGATGACCTAGAAGTCTATAAGTAATATAGTAGAGCGTCAAAAATCCGAACCAATTGGCACAGTAGGTAGTTCAGATTACTGATATGTTCGGATTTTCAAACATAACCTAGAAATGCTAGACACATATCAGGCCTACAACATTAAAAATACAGTTCTAGGAAAATCACAGCACTGAACTGAAATAAAAACTGGTTTTTGTACTAAAATATGTTCGGTACATTACTGTAATTCGTTTCTTGAAAAATTTTGTAGAGTTAATACATTGGAAACAAACGAAACACTGACTGACTTGGCCCTTTCACTTGTTTTCCCGCCAGGCGCCAACTGTTTGGCCCGCGAAATTGTAAATGTAAAACATCTGTTGTCTCTGTGCTAATTCAATATTTTAAAACCCTAAAAAGCGGTTCAGATGGATTTTCGACTCTCTACTGTAGTGCCAGTTTTGTAATGGTAGATGCTTTATGTGATAAAAGTCAGTGAGGTATTACTGTGAGGGGACTTTTTATCCCACATGGGCATTGGTGTAAGTCAACATGTTATGTCTGCAGTGAGCGAAGTACACTGTGTATTGATATTTAACTACGATTGCTTTCATAGCAGTGAAAGCCAGTTGAGTGGATCACGTTTCGTGGTTTTTAATAAAGCAATAAATAAATCAATTGTTTATATAGATATAATACAAAATACAACTATTTCATCAATTTCGCACAGAACTATCAACATCTATAACAAGTTTCATTAGTAAAGAAGTGGACATTACATATTCTTTGTATTAGTATTTTTCCTGTGTTTGCTTGCTAATGTCAGACAGGCCCGGACTTAGGGCTTCAGGGGCCCCAGGCAAATTTGCCAATGTGGCCCTCAGTACGAATATACGATTATATACACAATATTATGTGTCTTACATGATTTTAACTATTATAAGCATTGTAATGGTGAAATAACATTTAAACCAGTTAGAAAATCAGTATGCTGCATTTTATATGGCCTGTTAATACAACCAAAACCTTATTATCTGTAACCAGATGTTTTATTTTTACTTTAAAATGATTGTTTTATATTTTTAGAATATCTCTGAAGCAGAACCTCTTAACCCCTGCTCTTCTAATTGTCAAATTTAAGTATTTACAGCTGACTTAAATTTATTGATAGCCTATATTTACATTCTCTCAAAATGTAAGCATGAAAAATTTGGAAGCCCATGGGGCGTAGCCCAAGGGAAATATGAAAATTAAATTATATAATATTGCATTGTCATCCATTTGTGAGCTATGTTTTAAGTTTCAAGTCTCTAACTCATCAGGAAGTTAGTATAAAATTGATTGTAAAACTTGTACTGGACAAGCCCATGGGGCGTAGCCCAAATGAAATATGAAAATTACATTATATAATATTGCATTCTCATCCATTTGTGGGCTATGTTTCAAGTTTCAAGTCTCTAGCTCATTGGGAAGTTAGTATAAAATTGATTGCAAAATTTGTGCCGG